AGAGTATTCTAGTCAACTCTAATGTAAGTGACGCTTTAAACAGACTATTTTAGTTACCCCTAATGTAAGAGGCGCTTTTAGAATGGATTTTTTAGTTACTCCAAACTTTAATTAAAACATACAAGAACAATCTGTTCCAGCTAAGAAAAATAGTAACAATTTAAGGGGATTTACATTGACTCCTATGGTATCTTAATTAACAATAAAGACAGGAAATAAAAAAACAAGTTAATAAAAAGTCTAGTGACAATTTAAGCGCAATTTCCTTAATTAATTTTTTGTGACCGAACGAATCACCCGTAGATGTTTGCCCCCCCATTTTCGTTTTCGTTTCTCTCCACACGAGCAGATCTGCGCGAGTCTGGCCAATGGCAGCGTGACGTTACCTGGGAAATACAGGAAGGAAACCCGGGAATTTTTTTGGCCCACAATCATCCTCGGAACTTGCTTAACATATTTGCTTTGGAACTAGTCCTCGATATTGCTTCGTTGAGGAGGAGATACGACTTAAAGACGACTTAAAGCTGCGGACACACATCCATCCATACATCCATCCATCCATACATTCCCAGAAATGACGAGTTAATAAACGCACTTCTCCAGAATGGAAATTGCGCTAAAATTCACATGGAAATAACTTACTAGTCAATGTGGCGTGTCGGATCAAAATAGTGCTACACACTTGTCAATATACTACAATGAAATATTACTTTGGTTTTCCCCAGCAATTTAAAAATACAATGTATTTTTGGGAAATGCCAAAGATAATAGCGAATTCCCCTGAAAAAGTTTCAGAAACATTCAAATTAAAAAATACGGACACAATAATTATTATACAGAAATTGTTTTCACACATGAGAAATAATTATTTAAAATTGTGTTGAGACACCTATTGCAAAAACTTTATTAAAAAAAGTTTATTCAGAACAAGAAGTATTGCGCATGAAAATTAGAAAGTACTTTTGTATTAATTAGCTTTATGTATTAAATTAATTAAATTATTGGTCTTTTTAATTAATTTAATTTAATTAACTTCTTGTTCTGATTAAACTGTTTTAAAGTGTGTTCTACCTCACTATTACGGAGATTAATTGGGCGTGTGCTGGGCGGTAGTGTGGGCAAACCGATGGTCCGACAAATACGATCCAATAAAATTAGCGCAGGCGTTGTTTACCTTTATATAACCCAGTTTTAGAAAACAATGCCGCAAATCTAAGAATAAATGATTGGTAACGCATTGATAACTTTGAAGGTTGGGATTACTCTTTTAGTGGAATTTGGCTATAAAAATAGTAGATATGTTTGTGACCAAACTGTTTTTTTTTTTCATAAAAACTTTACAAAAAAATCGTTTGCCTATAAGAATGTGATTTTAAATGATCAAAGTGTCAAAGTTTTAGCTTCAGGTATTTTAGCTTTTAGAACTGGTCTCCAATGTTCGTAGCATGGCAATTCTTTCGGTCACTCTATCACATACTTTTCTTCTAGCTTGTTAATATTATCTTCTTCATCAGTATCAATAAGTAGTTGTAATGCCTGAGATGCAGTCATTCTACTTCTTTTGTTGATATTTCGGTCTTTTGCTTCATCTTTTGCACCAACTTTTTGTGATGAAGTCGACGGCTGTGGCTCAGCTTATCGTTTCGGCGGCATTGCTACGAAATGAAAATACTTTTACTTTTCCTAAAAATCAAAGACATATGCGCAGTTTTAGTCAGTCTTCCGCTAATTATATTTAATTAGACGGTATACAGGCCGTTAGGAATATGACGCTAGATCATCGGGCCGGAAAAACGTCTTTTCGGACATATATGCCTAATGTTGAAGCCGGTTTACCGGCCTGGCGGGCTCAAAGGGATAACATTTTATAATGCAATGTAGTAACGTCATTGATTGCTCGACATCAGTCAGCAGTGTTTGTAATTCATAATCTAAATATAGACCTTTCCCCACAAGGTGGCGCTGTATAAATGTGCAGCAACCGCAAGCGAATCTTCAATCCTGCGGGTAATTTTAATCCATATTCTACAACTCATGACGCTTTTGTAAAGTATAACAGAACGTTTTACTTCTTAATTAATTGGTAAGTTTTAATAAAACGTTATTTTTTTAACAAAGTTTGTGATTTTAGCTTTAAACATAGAATACATAGTGATTTTCTAAACATTTGCATACAATGAAACTCTGATCTATCTTTATTATATATATATATATATAAAAACGCACATAAAATACATTGAAAACGCAACAGTATATAGATCAAACACTAAATCAGTATTTAAGTTCAAGCGATACATATATTTCGTTTTATATACAAGATAACTCGTGGAACCAATCATTAAATAAATAATGTATATATTAACTGTTTTCATTTTTCGAGTAAAGCTTATCTTCAACCACTCTCGTAAACGAGAAAAAAAAACTTAGTTTATGGGAATAGAACATTGCCCATACCAGTAACCAGAAAAAAACTAAAATTAACACAAAAAAAAACATCTACAAGAACAAAGTGGGTCAACAAAATGGCGTAGTTGAAATACTTTAAGTCCTTTGTGTTTCAATGTACGCTTGGTTGTCTTCCTACCTCGAGGGGAGGAGTAAGGGTGGACACTTGTAAACTATTTTTAAAAATATTTCATCCGGGGGAGGGGGAGATAATAGGGGGGGGGAGTAGTGATATTACTTTGGAATGGGGGGCACACTTCACTCCTCCCCGAAGTAAATACTGAAAGAAACTTCGCGCAGAGGTATTAGAACCATGATGTCTTATATTTTTATGGCGGTTTATTGCTATCTGCCTTGTAGACCCTTTCTACGTTTGGTTGTGAGGTATATATAAAACTTCCCGATTGTTCAATTGCTTTATTGAACCGAACCTCCGTTTTGATTTCTACAGATCGCGATCGGGAACCACCGAACATATTTCCCGAGGCGTCCGCACCGAAAGAGACCGCCCCCCTCCCCTTGATATTTATGTTTCGAAGAACACTGTACCTAGAAAAAGAATGAGCCATGGGAACGGAATGCGGGTTTTTAAAATTTAAGGAGCGGTTTTGTATAGGACAGAATACACCCAAGTGATCCGCAAAAAACCGGTTTTAGAAATGTTTTAGCTATGCTATTGTTCGCTCAGGTAGTTTGCAGGGAGGTGCAGCAGACCAAAATTAAACCGGCGTTTTTTGTGCAACCGACCATAACGTCCTGTAATTTGAATAGGCTTACAAAGGCCTGTTTACTTACTTGATCGTTACACCTCAGTGATTTGTAACGCGCAGTAACAAAATTTATTTTTCTAATTATATTATATTTCCTCTCTAAGCAAACACCGACAACTAAAAGTGTTGACTACAATGTAAATATTGGAAAGGGATAACAATGTATTTGCGATTTTTAAGAAAACCTTAAAAGATATATTAAAAATATTGTATGCTGTACTCGTGATTTAAGCAATATAATTTCTCTTGTAATCTTCCCACTGTTGTAAACTTTAATTATATAAACTAATGATTATGTTAACAAAAAAAAAGCACGTAGGTTAAAAAAAAACAACAAGAGAGATAAATGAGAGAGGAAATTTAAGAAGACTGAAAAAACAATCCAAATCGGTGAAGCTTTTATGAGATTAATGCTTCCATTCTCTCTTACAACACTTACTGCAAGGATACAGAACACATTGGTACTTGTGTTTCACATATTCACATACTATCAAGTTTAACCTCAAGAGCCATACTATTTGCTTCGATAAAACAATTTTCATAAAAATTTAAACATAAAAGATATATGCATCTAAACTTCAAAATAAAATCTTATTTGAAATTATTTAAACAGTTAACATAACATCTCCCCCGTATTCGGCTCTTTGCCCAGATAATAATTCTTTACCTGAAATATGAAATGTTAAATTTTCTGAATATTTCCTCTTTCTATTTGAAGCAAACATGCAGGTGCTTGTTTATCTCACTCATTTCATTTCAGCAATCAGTAGCCATTCCTTTTCTGCCTTCATTTTTTAGATCTGTGTGTGAATTCTTCTAGGTTTATAGTCTTATCACCACCACATAAGTTAGGAGAATAACAATGAACTACAACTACAACTATTTAAGTGCTTTCTTGGCAGAGTTTGTTCTAACGTGTGTTTTGTAAATTGAGAAAAATAATTTATAACATTAAACAAGACATGACGCTGTCTTCGTCTTCATCAGACATGGTACACTAATCACCTCTATATTTTAGCAATCTCGGTTATAAATTTTAATGTATATGTGGTTGCTTCTAGATAACAATTCTTTGAAACCTCGACCAACTTTTTTCATTAAAATCTTACATTCAATTTTATATAATAAAAATACAGACTGACCTATCAAGTCATATTAATAGAATTCATCGTTCCTTTTTAAAATTTGAAATTATTTTATTTCCATGTGAAACAAAATTAAAACCTGTAATCAAATTAAGCCAGCTATAAATAGAAATTTATATTGAGTGCCTAGTAGTAAAAATAAACGACCACTTTATATACAATCTAAAGCATAAAATCGACCAACTATAGGTAGGCTACTATTTTATTTGCCCTATTTTCGTAACAATATAAAATTATTTACTTAGATGGTTTTCTTTTTGTCATCATGTCATTTAATATCATTCCTTGAACAACTTTACTTTTGATTTACATTAGAATCATAAAATTGCACTTGACATAAAATCTTACATTATCGATCTCAGCCATTGCGACGCGGTGTCATAAATGCGCACACTTCAACGCAGCAAACGTTCCGTGTTCTTATATAGGCCAACAACATTAACATAAATTATATAAGCGATTTTTAAAAATATTTAATTTTACATTTTGTCATTTAACACATATTTTATGTAGATTGTCATATTTCATACTAATCTTTGCGTAAATCTGTTTTTGGCTAAATTTTTTAAAATGTCGACCCCCCCCCCCCCCCAAGGCGAGCGGCGCATGAATACGCAACACCACCAACATGATTCTTTATTCGGCAGCCATTTTTCATCCGTGTACTGCGCTTCGGTGAGGTTATGTGACGTGTAGCAGGATATTTTTGTTTGTTTGTAATACCCGTTAATCAGCTAACATGTCAGACTTTAGAACTTGTCTTTTTTTTAAAGTCTTTGCATGTTAAAAACTGTATTAGTGTTCACATAATTGTAAGATAACATTTACTGCATTTACATCTCTTCTCGTTTACAAGTATACTCATATGCTTTTGAGAATTTATTTTACTCTAGCACATGGAAAATTAATTGTATTTATTTCTTGTTTTGTTTATTAAATGCAACTACGCTTTAAAATTTTTTAAAACCATTAACTCCACTGTAAGAAATGACATATTTTCTTATTTGGACTGATTAATTTTAGAATTGGTAACCAGTTCAAATAATAACTTATATACTCATTCATAAGGAATGTTTTTTTTTATAAATAATTATTCTACAGCTTTTTCAATTATGTCTGAGAAAATTGTCAATTTTATCAATATCACTAAGAAAAGTCAAGCAATATTTAACACTATCACACACCACACTTATTTTGTATACCAACTCTAACTGCAGCAACAAACAATTTTCAACAGACCAATCAGTACAGCCGTGCACATTGCAGAAATTTTACACTGCCACTACCAACTACCGCATTGTTGAAATGTTTGTTGTAAAAACGTCATTTATATTGCAGAATGAGCGTAAATAAATGTTGTAAGGATGATCTTTTTAAAAGTTGTTAACTTAAGGTGGATTTAAATCATCACTATACATATTAGTTTTATTTTAGTTGTAAAGACAAACTTCACTAGCATAATTTATCTCACGAACAAAACATATCGCAAGCAATTAGTTGTGTGAATTGCATTATAAAATATCTTGATGTTATTGTTTTGTAATCCTATATGTGTAGTTAAATTTATCATTTGGTTTGAATTCAAAACTAAAATAGAGATATAATATTGACTATGGAAAAATGTAAACAATCCAAGCTCATTAGGTCTACAAAATAAGGCCAGCGAAGATTAATCACACAAAAAGGTCTTTGAGGTCACTTCATATCATTTTGCTACTCATTCAAATAGCTGAGAGCAACTATCTTTTTGAAAATTTTGTGTTTTTTAATCATTAATATGGTGTAATTTAGTTGATGAAATCTGAAATTAAAGATATATATTTTAATGCATTTTTCCCTAATCTATTGAAGTTTTTAAATTATAATAATTCATAACTTTATTTATATTTATTAATTTCATACACCGTATTTTACATTATTCAAAGCTGAAACAAACGGATATTGATATAATTTTCAGTGCAAAGTCATAGATTTCCAAAGCTGTATTTACATGAACAATTTTATGTCATTTAATGAACTATAACTTTACTTAGCGTGCATTTTCGTCACCTTCAGATGGCCTATTGGGATGACCGCAACTAAACAGATGTAAATTTGACATAATATACATTATTTACGTTTTTCGCTGCTCCTTCTCTGCCAACTAGATATTTTAAATGTCGTTGGAAATTATCTCCAGCTTGTTACCTTTGTTTATTGTATGGCCCCTTGATAAATTTAATGAATCATACCAAACTGGCTATAAAATGTGGCAGTAAAATATTATTATTTGGTACGTTGTATTATCCTGGGTATGATTTTATTTTCGTGTATCCTATGCCGTAAGCAAAATTTCCTGTGCGTGTATAAAAACGGTATGTTTTGAATGTTAGAAATTGAACTTGAGGCACTTTCTCTATTTAGAGTATAGACTCGATTAATGGGTGTAGTGTTTTTATAATTTTACTTACCTATTTAATTTTTTTACTGTTTAAATTTGTAAGCAGGATTTCAGAAAAAAACTTGTTTATTAATATTTTTCCCCTTTGCTAACCAAGTTAATTTTTTTTAGCCTGCAGATCATTGAATAGGACGAGATAGATTTGAGGCTTAGTTACGATAGCTATATTGATTAAGTAGAAGATTTATAATGCATTGACAATACCACAAACTAGAGTCGAAACTCTAGTCTCACTACAATGATCTTTGAAAATTAATGTTGTTCAATAAATTAGTACTTGGTAGCACTAGGACAATGATTTATGATTAATTATCATATATTTATCTACGACTGTGTTTCATAAACTTTCAGATTACCGCCCTGTATATACTATACTAAGTCTGTTCAAAATTGTAACATACATTCAAATGAAGAATCAGTTCTAGAAATCTTGTTAATTTGTGACTATTATTTTGTAAAATGTGTTTTTCTGCGGTGCGCGAATCCACGTCTTATTTGGTCTTCCCTGGGTTTCGTTTCAAGTTCAGCGCAATTCCTGTGATAACATCCAGTCTCATTCTTGCTTAAGGTGAATCCAGCACCATCTTTTTCTATTACCCAATCCATTTCCATTTTCCCCGAGTGAATACTCATTGGATATGATATTGTACCATTGGTCTACATTTTTTTGGAAGAATTTTTCTACGATCGCCATGTTTTGGATGGTTGCGAAGACTTGTTTTGGCTTTAGAGATTCGTATTTTCAATTAAATGACGCAGTCTATTTAATAATTGACCATGCTGACTAAATATATGAAATCTTTTTTCTTGGTGTACTCCATCCCCAATCTAAAACGTAAGTACTCTGAGCTAGTTGTTAGCGTCAATCTGTTGCCTCTTATTTGGTCTGTAGCTTATGGCATCAGCCAGTCAATTACTAGGTTAAAAAGCAGTGAAGACAGAACACGCCTCATTCTTTTACTTTTGTCTGGACCAAAATATATAGGCCATGTATTTGGTTCCGATAAACTCTGCACTGAAAACCTTTTATTTTAATGTCTGATTATTTCTCCTGAAAACCATGACACAGTAAGATTTTTGCATCTGACTATACTATCAAACGCATTTTCAAAATCAATAAAAAAAGCAAAAATAAAGGGGACACTTTCATTCATACTTTTTTCTAGTATTTGTCCCAAGGCGAATGTGTTATCTATTCGTCTTTTCAAAGCCCAGCTTGTTCTTTCAGAATTTTTTCCTCTGCAAAACTGGATATTCTGCTTAGAATGATACCGCAAAATAGTTTACTTGTGAGTGGTTAAGTGTGATGGCTCGACAAGTTTTACACAGCCTTTTATTTCCTGTTTTTGGCATTTCGACTATTAGACCATTTTTACTTTCTCGTATATACGAAGTATAGAGAAAGTCTTGTAATCGTGCACAAAATAACATGTAATGTTTACAATTTTCACCGTTTTACACCTCAGTCCTTCATCACATCCGGAGTATAGAGGACTTATTTTAATCAGGCAAAAATTATAAATACAAATATATAAACATTTTGGCGTTTTGTGCGTTATCGAGTCGGAAAAACTGGACTTTGCAATTCTGTCCGTATGTCTGTGTGTCTGTCTGTGTATATGTGTGTAAACACGATAACTTAAGTACCGTTACAGCTAGGTTAATGAAATTTCATATATAAGTATTTTATCAAAATCGTTGACCCGTATCACTTTTTGAGCGATTTCCGATAACCGGAAGTGGTACTTTTTTACTTTGAATTTTTCAAAAGCCTATAACTTGAGTACTATTTCAGATAGATAAATGAAATTTCACATATAAGTAAAAGATCTGATTCTCTACCTTCTGTCAAATTTTGAGTAATTTCCGTTGACTGGAAGTAGTAATTTACGCTATTTCCGATTTCTCATGAAAAAAAAACGAATGTATAACATGTTTGCTACAGATATTAGTTACTTGCTCACGTAGAATTTTAGTTAGTTTACCAATAGCCGTAATATCAGCGTTAATCACTAACCGTTTATGTGTTAGGGACGTAGAAGGGCGCTCTCGGGAGCCCCCGATTACACATCTAGCCGGAGCGTTGCGTACGGCCCCTGGCTAGATTTAATCATCAAATGTCCAGGCGCCGTAGTGCTAACAGGATAGCACAGGACGCCAAATCGCACCCTGCCGGTGAGAGACTCTAAGACCCCATCTAATAAATAGTCTACCGCACTGTTTAAAACAAACGTAGGCGCTAAATCGCAACCCTCAGGGGCACCGGAGAGAGCTCCTGAAACGACATGGTCAACGATTATTGTTGCCCATAGTGTCCGCAGTGTATAGCCTTTTTAAAAACGAACATAGGAGCCATAGTGCTCACAGGTGAGTCCGGGGCGCTTCATGCCAAGCAATAGCTGGGGCGTCTGCGGCTGTACCTGTTGACGTTTTAACGCTGAATATAGTAGTACCTTTTACCCGCTATGCAGGACGCCCAATTAACGGATACCAAGTGCTACGATAGCCGCTCTGGAACTTTGGGCGCCAAAACCATGTATTGAAGAATATCGCACCCTCCCGTGCACCGCCCATAAGAGATTTATTTTCGCAGAAACCTTCTCGGAAGTATTCTCTTTAACTCCCAAAGTTTTCATGGCACTCGCGTGAACGGTGTCAAACTGCATCCGACTTTTATTTTTCTATACCATATAGTGAGAAAAATCTCACCATTCAGGGGCGACGCTCTTGCGAAATTGAAAAAAAAAAGATTTTTTTGCAGAAACCTCTCCTGGATTATTCTAATTAACTCCCCAAACCGCAATCTATTTCTATTTTTATACTAGATAAACGGCCACTAGGTTGATGTGTTTTATTTTACTCTAAACCGAAACCAAAACCAAAATCACAGCCTCACTACAAATTTAACCAGAAACGAAAAATGTAACTGAAAAAGGTTTTTAACCGTGATTTACGCGTAGTTACTGCGCATTCATACTAAAAATAGTCGTAGTCTTACCCCTTAGCCTTACACTTAAGCTCAAACTTGACAAAAGTCGCATTCGGACTTTCTTTCAGGCAACTTTTCGGAGGAGGGGGGGGGGCGGAGCCCCCCGAAGAACGTCTACCGCTCCCTATTACGAAATACAATTTATAAAGAAAATATATACTTTTACCAGTGTCCGCCCCTCCCCCAGGGAGTTCCGAAATTACAGAGTGACAGAATAGCGAAACTATTATTATAAATACCGTATATGGAGAAGAATAGAATCACGTCCTGTCCGGCCGCCACCCCTGCGAATTTAAATATTTTGTTTCGCAGATACATCCTTATGAGTATTCTCAACAGCTTCCCAGTTTCATGAAAGGTGTAGCAATGCATAAAGAAGCAGATAGTCTTATTACTGAGACTGAGACTTCCATACAGTGCGCCCTTGGGTCTGCTGGGTGGTAGTGTAGGCAAACTCGTGTCCCCGCAAATGCGCGCGGGAACGGACCTGATAGTATATACACATACGTTTATTGAACATATATTTAAAATTCGGCGACTTGTTTTGCTCTTTTCGCTTAGTATGTTCACAAGGTATGGGGTCTAAATAAAACTATACTTGTGATCCTTCGTTTTGGTTATTATTTTATATTGCTAGTTAAATAAACCGGGAGTGATCTCCCCTAAACTTTCTCGAATATTCGTATATAACTTGGAATATAGACATGATTTTTAATTACTTAAACTTTTAATAATAGAATATAACTAGCCGTCCCGGCCAGGCCCTGCTCTGGCTTATGTGAAAAATCTTTCTGTGTGTTTATTAATCATCATAAACCCGGCATTGCCCACCCAAACCACAACCAACCAAAACCTAAACAACAAAACGCAAACATAACGCTAACACAATTACAAATACAAACGAAAACAAAAACCTAACAACAAACCCAACCACAACCACAAACACCAATACGAACACAAAGAAAAAAACGAAAAAGCGAACGAAAACAAACCAAATCCGAACGCAAAACCAACCACAAACACAAACCCAAAGAAAAAAACACAAATGAAAAAGCAAACGAAAACAAACCAAATCCAAACGCAAAACCAACCACAAACACAAATACAAACCCAAAGAAAAAAACACAAACGAAAACGAAAAAAGAAAGAACAAAAACGAACCAAATCAAAACGCAACCACTAGCGCAAACCCAACCTAAACACAAAGAAAACACTAACGCGAACATAAACGCAAAGTGCTCACAGTCTAGCCCGGGGCGGAATCGCCTGTTTCAGCTTAATAAACGACTATAGTACCCCAACTTATTCATAGTCTTTTGCACTCACTTAAACGAACGTAGGCGCCAAACCGAACACGGGAGGCCCGGGGCCCCAAATAGCACCCTGTCTGGGCGCCAGAGCACGCCCGGATTCGATTCACTTAAAGACTATAGTAACCTTTCTTATCCATACTCTATCGCACTGTTTAAAGCGAAATTATGCACCATAGCGCTCACAGGATAGCCCAGAGCGCCAAATTGAACCCTGGTGGGGCGCCGGCGGACGCGCCTGTTTCAATTTAATGAACAATTATAATACTCCAAGCTTAACCGTAAAATACCTACAACATTTGCACTTGATCAATCCCCGCTAATTGTGTAATTATTTTTTTTTCCCGACACCAAAACAAAGTAATAAAAAGTAAATTCTTTTCCACTAATGCAATGTTTTATAAAGGGAAATAATTGTGTTTTCCTAATTTATCAAAGGGAAGTAAGTGCGAAAGGACTAAATATAAATAATTTTCAGACATAATTAGAATTTTTGTAAAAGATGATATTTTTTTTTAATTGTGTTTAATGAACATGCCGACAATTATTACTAAAATTATTTCCCAACACTTTCAATAGTAATTTTTAAACTCATAAATTTAGACTATGAGCACGATAATAATCTAACACTTAAATCCATCGAAGTATGTCCACGACAAACAAACTTATTACATGTTACATACAGAATTGAGCTTTATATATTAGATCCCATAGAAAAAAGATTAGCGCACCAAAACAAAATGTGCACAATAGTGCGCAATATTATTAGTACTTTATAAATTTACATGCGTTTTTTTTTTTGTTTTTTGAGAAATCGGAAATAGCGTAAATTAGCACTTCCGGTCAACGGAAATTACTCAAAATTTGACAGAAGGTAGAGTTTTTCTGAACCAGTGAGGTGTAAAACGTCGAGATTTGTAAAAATCTCAATTTTTTTTTTGCACGATTACAAGACTTTCTCTATACTTCGTATATACGAGAAAGTAAATATGACCAGTGACTTAGTAGGCATCTGACTCAAGCCTAAATGGAAAAAAAAAGCTACAATAAGAATATAAGTCAGGGCTGGGGCAACTTTTCTCAATTTAGCGTTTTTTCCCCGGGCCGCTTTGAAATAGAACGTCCACCCTACACATGCGCATGATTGTTAAAGTTTTTTTTAAATTGTTATTACTGGAACCTAGGATTACATAATTTTGAGAATACAAACTAGAATAGTAAATTTATTGTTTCTTATAAGTGTGCACATTATTTGTATAGTGTAGTTTATAATTGATTATGTATATTTTTTCATTTTGTTGTTGTTCCCTTTTCACAGATCAAGATTTGAAAAAGAGTCTCATCTTGATTCCCGCTTAATAACGTCCGAATTTGAAATCAAACGTAAGTTATAGAATATAATTTATTTTCAATAATTAACTATTAATTTTTAATGCTTCAGCTACAACTTCACGTTTAAAATAACGAATCGCTTGTGTATGCGTTAAAATATTTTTTTTTTAAAAATTCAAAGGACTGTAAGCTTAACAAACACTACAAAACAACAACATTATAACAACATTACAATACAAATAACGAATAATTTATTGCCATTGTCTTAACTACAAGTGACCCTAAAATATGTTGCACAGTTTAGGCGGCGACTTTTAAAAAATGGAATATAGTCGATCACGTTCAATTGTTTAGACAATGCATTTAAGTTCATACTTAATAATGTGATTGAATTATGTATAGAATAAATTTAGTGTATTGGATATATTGACGTGATTTAATTTTTCTGTCTGCGATGAATTGTTCATGGCTACCTTATCATATCAAACACAATATCATATCATATAATACCTTGTCTGAGATTTATGTCATGAGAAGTTTGTCCTAAGATAATTGTCTGTATGTATTTTATTTGAGAATTGTGTCCTAAGATAATTTGTTATGTAACCGTTCATCGAGCTAACGACAATTTATTTTTGTATAAAATATAGTCGAACTGTCTGTATAATAAACACGTTACATAAAGTTCGTTATCTTTATACATGTTTTGTATTAAAACGACACGCTGTGTGCACACTTAGGACCAGATCTATTTATACCCGCCAATGGCGATGCAGGGCGTAGCAAACACACATTTTTATATCCCGCACAACATCTATGTAGCTCAGCGGTCCTCAGATTTCATATAGTTACAATTATGGAATTTTTTTCCTTATTTGTACAAATATTCCTTCTAAGATATTGATAACGCACACTGTATTTAAACTACCTCTAAACTTGCAGTAAATCTTATTTCGTACGCGTACGTTTTTTAAAAATTATTTTCAAATGTGGCTTCTCGTTTTGTTGTGTTATGGATGACATAGTTGCACTGCTTCAATAATCAAAGGCGCCCCTAACAGAATATCCTACTTCCCCCTTATGGTAAAAGCGCTTCTAACAGAATATTCTAGTTATCCCTAATAAGGGCTGAAACAATGTCAGATAATACCCTTTTATTCCTAAAAATTCCCTGACCTCTTTCGTATGAATTTCACCACGCAAACCCTTTGAACCCTAAACTTTAAAAAATTAAATGAAATCGACAAAATAAGGCAGAAAGATTGTAGGGATGCCAAACAAACAGGTCTATTTTAAGTTAGCCCTGAATTTCAATCCCAAAATGTTTAGCGATCCTAAATTTTTTTAAAGACTGAATTTAAAAGTCACTCGGATAATTTTTTTTTTAAATTCATAGCTATTTTATTACTTTCTAGACATTCTAGATATAGTCCAAGATATAAGTGGGTTTTTTTTTTTAGTTTTTGTTACAAGCTTTAAATTAAATCTAATATTTAAAGGATTATAAATACAATAAAAATAGTTTAACATTTCAGACCGATCTTGACCCCATTATGTAATATTACAGAATGTTCTAGTTACATCTAATAATATAACCGCCACCAATAGAGTATTCTAGTCAACTCTAATGTAAGTGACGCTTTAAACACGCTTTTAGTTACCCCTAGTGTAAGAGGCGCTTTTAGAAAGGATTTTCCAAACTTAAATTAAAACATACAAGAATAATATGTTCCAGCTAAGATCATGAATAAAGCGATACTGTAGCGTAAAATTAGTAATAAGTTAACGGGATTTACATTGATTCCTATGGTATCTTAATTAACAATAAGGACAGGAAATAAAAAAAAATTAAAAATTCACATGGAAATAACTTCCTAGTCAATGTGGCGTGGCGGATATGGTGGTAAACACTTGCCAATATACTACAATGAAATATTACTAAAAATACAATGTAGTTTCGGGAAAAGCGCATAATAATAGCGAATTCCCCTGAAAAATTTTCAGAAACATTCAAATTTAAAAATACGGACACAATAATTATTATATTGAAATCGTTTTCACGGGATTTAGGGGGGTCGGCGTGGTCGAGTCGGTAAAGCTCAAGGTTGCTAAGCCGAAAAGTCTCGAGTTCGAACCCTCGGGCAGATGAGGCTCGTTAGCTGGGGACAGCCACTCTTCTAGGAGTCAATGGCCTCAATGGCGCATAACCAGTTGACGTAACGCTTAATTGTGTTGGAGGCGTGGTCGAGTCGGCAAAAAGCTCATGGTTGATAAAAAGTCTCGAGTTCAATACTGGCAGATAAATCTCGATCCCCTTCAACACTAATAATTAAGAACGAAGAAGAAGAAGAAGAACGGGATTTACATTGATTCCGATGGTATCTTAATTAACAAATTCACATGGAAATAACTTCCTAGTATTTGTTGCATGCGGATAAAAATAGTGCTAAACACTTGCCAATATACTACAATGAAACATTACTTTGGTTTTCTCCAGCAATCTAAAAATACAATGTAGTTTCGGGAAAAGGGCATGATAATAGCAAATTCTCCTTTGTTTGTTTTTTCATAGAAACTTTTATAAAATACGTTGGCTTATTAGAATGTGGTTTTAAATTATCAAAGTATCAAATTTTTAGCTTTAGGCTTTTTAGATTTTAGAACTGGTCTCCAATTCTCGTAGCATATTTTTTCTTTCGGTTATTCTATCACATAAGGCCTACTTTTCTTCGAGTATGTTATTGTTAGTGTTATGTTTATTTACTTTGGCTATGAAGGGGCGTAACTCGGTAACTTTGTTAGATGAAGAAGAAAAAGAGCGAAGATTCGAAGAGGATGAAAAATTGAAAGAGTTACACTAGGAGAAAGAACAACAAAGATTCGAGTAGGAACAGGGTTATCCTGGTGAGTTACTATTATAATGGAGAACCGGAATGGGATAAGGAAGTATGAGAATATGAATAAACTGTTGATAGAAACTGTTGTATACGAGAAGACCTTATAAAATGAGAAAGATAGCCGCTTATTTTAGTTGTCTGAAATCTTCTTAGGAAAAATGCCCAGCGGTGTTTTATGGTTATGTTTTTTCCCTTTTCTAATATATACGGTGTAATTTTGAATTATATCTTATATCGTTTAGATTTACTGTAGGTTACACTCCCATTTAACCACTAAATATTGCACAAGTTAATTTTCATGAAGCAATGCTGATTTTAGACATTTAATTTAACACTCTCCCATGACATAAAACTTGTCACTTGAACCCTACGCCCAAATAAAAGCGACCACGTATCTATATAAATATTAAACCTACACACATTTTTAGCTGTGTTATCTGTGTGTAGTGTTACAGAACAAGGAACAAAGAGACTTAACCCTCCAGGTAAAATGTCACTGCACCCGTCTGAAAAAGAAATGTTAATAACCTTGATAATGCAGACAAGCGACGTTTGAAGGTCGTAACCTCGTTTCTAAACATAGAGTTATATTTATAACGCCTAGAAAAAGCAATCTGGCAACATTTATTAAAATATCTCTATCGGAATTTTAAAAAAAACGGTAATATCTTTTACAATATTGTATTTCAAACTGAAAAAACAATTCTTTAAAATTTTAGTCAATAAATGAATCACTTTTATCATAAGTTTAAACTGTTGTACTTTGATGCCAATAATAATCAATTTTAAATTATTACTGTTCCTCTATTTCTGACGCAAGATTTGCTATGGATTTAATCGATTGGAGGGGGAGGGGAGGGAGGACAACATTTTATAATGCAATGTAGTACTGTCATTGATTGGTCGACAACTGTCAGCAGTGTTTGTAATTCAATATAAGCAATTCCCCACAAGGGGGCGCTGTATATATGTGCGGCAACCGCAAGCGGATCTGCAATCCTGCGGGTAATTTTAATCCATATTCTACAACTTTTGTAAAGTATAACAAAACGTTATACTTCTTGATTAATTAATAAGTTTTATTAAAATGTTATTCTTTAACAAAGTTTGTTTTTTAGCTTTAAACATAGAATACATAATGATTTTCTAAACTTTTACACACAATGAAACTCTGATCAATCTTTATTATATAGCAAACAAAAGGCACTTAAAATACATTGAAAACGCAACAGTATATAGAGCAAACACAAAATTATTATTTACGTTCAAGTGATACATATATTTCTTGTTATATACAAGATAACTCGTGGAACCAATCTTTAAATAAATAATGTATATATTAATTGTTTTCATTTTTTGAGTAAAACTTTTCTTCAACCATTCTCGTCAACGAGAAAAAAAGTGTCTTAGTTTCTGCGAATAAAATAGAAAATTGCACATGCTAGTAGCCAGAAAAACTAAAAAAAAAAACAATCTACAATAATATAGTCGGTCAACATAATGGCGTAGTTGGCATAACTTAAGACTTATGCGTTTCAATGTACGCTTCGTTGTCTACCTACCTCGAAGGGAGGAGTAGGGGCGGACACGGGTAAACTATTTTTTTTCTATTTTATCGGGAGGAGGGAGGAAATAAGAGAGGGTTGGGGGCGTTGCGATAGTACTCCGAAAGGGGGGGGCACACTTTACTACTCCCCGAAGTAATTCCTGAAAGAAACTGCGCGCGGAGATATTACAACCACGATTTCTTTTATATTATTATGGCGGTTTATTGCTATCAGCCTTGTAGACCTTTTCTATGTTTGGTTTTGAGGCAGGGGCGGAACTACAGTGCCGCCAGACCCCGCAATGCGGGGGGGGGGCACTTCGTTTAGGGGGCCCACACCCGACCATAATCAATTTTTTTATAGTTAAAAAACTTAATTTTCTTTCCCTTTTGACTTGATGGTTGTTTTGTAAAAAGAATACGGTGGCTGCCATTGGATTATCTTTATTCTATGGACACCATCTCACGCTCTTGTACAATCTTTTTCCTTTTGTTTTTAAACCATTGTGAATGGTGGCCAAACGTTTAAATCACTTACGTTACTTTTTTACTTCTTTTAAATAGTCAAAATACGTGCTCTTAAGTACCTTTTAATAGATTTGTACTAA